GCTAAATGCCTTCCAAACTATCCTGCCTACATGTGATACAAATTTCAAAGAATTATGTACCTGAACACCTAGGTCTCTGTTCCACAACATTACCCAGGGCCCTACCATTAATTGTAGAAGTCCTGCCCTCGTTTGTTTTACCAAAATGCAATACCTTGCATTTATCCAAATTAAACTCCATCTGCAACTCCTCAGCCTGTTGACCCAGTTGATCAAGATCTCTTTGTAACCTTTGATAACCTCCTTCACTGTCCATTATACCAGTAATTTTGGTGTCATTTGCAAATTACTAACCATGTCTCCTAACTGCTCATTCAAATCATTTATATAAATGACAAACAAAAGTAGATCCAGTACCGATCCCTGTGGAACACTGCTGGTCACAGGCCTCCACTCCAAAAAACAATCCCCCCACCACAACCTTTTGTCTCCTACTGTCAAGCCAATTTTGTATCCATTTAGCAAACTTTCCCTAAATTTCAGACAATCTAACCTTATTAGTCTATCACGCAGAACCTTGTTAAATGCTTTACTAAACTCTGTATAAACAATGTCTACTGCTCTACCCTCATCAATATTTTTGGTTCATTCCTCAAAAAAAAAAGGGAATAGTAATAATAGGGAATTTAACTTTCTAACATCGAATGGGACAGCCATAGTGTTAAAGGCTGGATGGAGAGAAGTTTGTTAAGTGCGTTCAGGAAGACTCTCTCATGTAGTATGTCGATGGCCCTACTAGAGAAGAGGCAAAACCTGACCTCTTCTTGGGAATTAAGGCAGGGCAAGTGACAGAAGTATTAGTGAGGAAACACTCTGGGACCAATGACCATAATTCCATTTGTTTTAAAATAGCTATGGAAAAGGATAGGCCTGGTCCACGAGTTGAAGTCCTAAATTGGGGCAAGGCCAATTTTGATGGTCTTAGACAGGAACTTTCAAAAATTGATTGGGGGAGGCTATTTGCAGGCAAAGGGACATCTGCTAAGTGGGAGGCTTTCAAAGGTGAGTTAATGAGGATTCAGGGCCAGCACATTCCTGTAAGGGTGAAGGATAAGGCTGGCTGGAGTAGAAAACCCTAAATAACTAGACATATTGAGGCCCTGATCAAAAAAAAGGAGGCATGTGACATGTATAGGCAGCTGGGATCAAGTGAATTCCTTTTTCTTTATTCATTCACAGGACGAGGGCATCGCTGGCTAGGCAGCATTTGTTGCCCATCCCTAATTGTCCAGCGGGCAGTTAAGAGTCAACCACATTGCTGTGGATCTGGAGTCACATGTAGGCCAGACCAGGGAAGGATGGCAGTTTCCTTCCCTAAAGGACATTAGTGAACCAGATGGGTTTTTCCTGACAATCGACAATTGATTCATGGTCATCATTAGATTCTTAATTCCAGATATTTATTGAATTAAAATTCAATATTGCCATGGCAGGATTCAAACCTTAGTCCCCACAACATTATCTGGGTCTCTGGATTAACAGTCCAGTGATAATACCACCAGGCCATCGCCACCCCTGTGGGTGAGGAGTCGAGGGCCGAGGAGTATAGAGGTGTCTGTGTACACTTGAGAGAGAAAAATCAGGAGGGCTAAAAGGGGACCCAAAATGGCTTTGGCAGATGAGGTAAAAGAGAATCCAAAGGGATTCTACAAGTACATGAGGGGCAAAAGAATAATGAGGGAGAGAATAAGGCCTCTTAAAAGATCAACAAGGCTATCTATGTGTGAAGCCACAAAAGATGGGTGAGATCCTAAATGAATATTTCTTGTCAGTATTTCCCATTGAGAAAGGCATGGATGTGAGGGATCTTGGGGAAATTAATAGTGACATCTTGATGAGAGTCCACAACACAGAAGAGGTGGTGCTGAAAGTCTTAAAATGCATTAATGTAGATAAATTCCCAGGACCTTATGGGAGACTAGGGAGGAAATGTTGGGCTTCGACTGAGATATTTGTATCATCAACAGCCATGGGTGAAATGCCTGAAGATTGGAGGGTGGCTAATGTTGTGCCATTATTTAAGAAAGGCTGCAGGGAATTGCATGGGAACTGTAGACATGTGAACCCAACGTCTGTGGTGGGTAAGTTTGTTAGAGGGGACTCAGAGACAGGATCTACAGGCATTTGGAGATGCAAAGACTCATTTGGGATAGTCAGTATGGCTTTGTGCATGGGAAATCATGTCTCACAAATTTGATTGAGTTTTGTGAAGGGGTGACCAAGAAAGTAGATGACAGCAGTACAATAGACATATCTACATGGGATTTAGCAAGGCTTTTGGCAAGGTAAGGTTAAATCTCACAAGATCCAGGGAGGCCTAGCCAATTGGATACAAAATTGGTTTGAAGGTAGGAGACAGAGTGATGGTAAGTTCTTTTTCAGACTAGAGACCTGTGACCAGCAGTATGCCGCAGGGATTGGTGCTGGGTTCACTGTTATTTGTCATTTATATAAACAATTTGGATGAGAATTTATGAGGCATGGTTAGTAATTCTGTGGATGACACCAAGGCAGTGAAGGTTATCTGGGAATGTGGCAAGACTTTGATCAACTAGACCAGTGGTTGAGGAATGGCAGATGGAGTTTAATTTGTATTTATCTAAAGTGTTGCATTTTTGTGGGTCAAACCAGGGCAGGACTTACACAGTCAATGTTAGGGCCCTAGTTATAGAACAAAGAGAGGTGTAGTGGAACAGCTTCATAGTTCCTTTAAAGAAGAGTCACAAGTAGACGGGGTGGTGAAGAAAGTTTTTGGCATGTTTGCTTTCATCAGTCAGAGCACCGAGTAAAGGAGTTGGGACGTCTTGTTGCAGCTGTACAAGATGTTGGTGAGGCCACATTTGGAGTATTGCCACACCAATACTCTATCACCACCCTCTGTCTTCTAAGATGAAGTCAATTTTGTATCCAATCTAGTGGCCTTGCTATAGAAAGGATATTATTAAACTAGAAAGAATGCAGAAAAGATCTACTAGGATGCTACCTGGACTGGAAGGTTTGAGTTTTAAGGTGAGGTTGGATAGGCCAAGATCTTTTTCCCTGGAGTATAGGAGACTGAAGGGTGACCTTATGGACGTCTATAAAATAGGAGGCAAATACTCACTTCAGAGTGGTGTCTTCATATGACATCTTTTAGCTATACAAGATGCTAAATGGGATTGACAAAATAGCTGCAAGGAAGGATATTTCTTCTTGTGGAGCTATCTAGAATGAGATTTCATAGTTTTAGAATGAGGTAGTCCTAAAATTTAAAACAGAGATTAAGGGAAATTATTTCTCTCAACAGGATGTGAATCTGTGCAATTCACTACCCCAGAGTGCAGTGGATGCTGGGGCATTGAGTAAATTTAAAGATGATTTGGAGATTTTTAATTAGTAATGGGCTGAAAGGGTATGGAGGGCGGGCAGAAAAAATGGAGTTAAGGCTGAGTCTATTGAATTGCAGAACAAGCTGAAGGGGCTGAATTGCTTCCCTCTGTCCCTAGGTTTTTTTTCAAAAAATGTTAAAATCCCTTAACCTCAAATGTCAATTCACTTTCACTAGCTCTGCCTTCAATCCCTCAACTGCCTTTTTATAAAAAACTTAAAGTTAGTGTCAGTTGTGCTCCCCCCCAGCCTCCAAACTGTATGTACAAGTCAATTACATTAAGATGGCTGCCTGGGGCACATTCACGAAGAGCTTATTAATTTGTTCTATCCCATTAGTCAATACTGGGTCTAGTATAGCCTACTTTCTGGTTAGTGTCCTGTATACTTTATTTCAAGAAATTATCCTAGAAACATTCTATGAATTCCTCAACTAAGCTATCTTTTGCCCATCTGATTTTCCCAATCTAGATGTAGATTAAAATCTTCTGTGATTATCACCATACTCTAACAACTTCACATTATTTGTTAATACTATGAGATTGTAGGAGCAGAAATGGGCCATTCAATCCATCCTCAAAACATTCTAATAAATTTGCCAGGCAAATGGAAGGATGCTTTTTCTTGATTCTATTATGCATTTTTAAATGCTCTACTTTAACATCCTGTATAATAGTCTAATGTTTTCCTAATAACGGATGTTCAGCTAACTGACATAGCTAACACCATGCCAAATTTTTTGTCTTCTTCCCATTTTGAACAGACATATTACTTGGTAGTTTTTCCAATCCTCCAGGACTTTTCCAGATTCTAAGGATTCTTGGACCTCTATTGTGCTAAAATCCTTAACAGAGGAATCCCTTCAAATTTTGTAGCTTATTGTCCTTCCTACATATCACATACTGTTTAATATTCAAGGCCCAATCTACACTATTCTGCAGCTATGTCTCTGTAATGGGTCCAAACCATACTTGTTTACCTCAGGTTTCATCATTTGTTCATAAATTTTGTTTTGACTGCAATGTGCTTTCAGATACAGAGCCTTCAGTTTTGTCACTTTCAGTCTGTGTAGTGATTGTAACGAAGTCAGCTAGCTGGGTTTCATAAAATAAGAGTTCCCTGACTGGGGCTGTTAACCTGGTTCAATCAGGGAGCCCTGGCTGACACAAAGAGGAGTGATAGAGATGTTCACATTCCGAGCTGACTCTGAAGAGTCTGTACTCAAGTCAAAGACTGTTCATGTGTAAATAAAGAGTGACTTGGTGATGGAATACCAGCCTCTGGAATTATTTCAATTTGAAATACTGATTTACTTAGACCTGTAATTTCTGTCCTTTCTTGTTCTGATCTGTTTATCATTTTCTATATTAACATTTTCCTTTTTTTGCCTAACCACTACTCTTGAACTTACCACATTTTCCCAAATTTGATATCTCACCCAACTATTTAGTTTAAAACCCTCTCTACTTGGTAGGACCAAGCACCCACATGGGTCCTCATACATAAAAATAGAAATAGCAGAATTATTATCCCAGAATGGCAAGTCTACTGAAACTGCAGAAAAACAAATGTTGCATTGGCATATAGTTAGGCCTAGGAGCCCTGAAGAAAGGATTGAAAACACAAGGTAATAATGTTAAATAATGCACACTGCAAATTTAATGTTTTTTCTTTCACTAAATTTCACAGATCTCAGATTATTACATAACTGAAATAATGTATGGAAAATATTTTGAAAACGATAGCTGCACTGGTTAAGTTATCTAGCAAGAGCCAAAACTTGGCAATCATAAACATTTAACTGACATCCACAAAGTGTATTAATCAGGACCTCAACACTTTGTCGACATTATTACATCACGGTCCACCACTATAGTGCATTGGCACAACATCATTTTGTCAAGTTTTTATAAAACTGTAGTTGATCTCAATGCACAAGTATATAGGTTGACGACGTAACAGCAATGACAAAACAATGTCATATGAAAAGCAGTAAGTGATTTATAAAGTATATTCATAGAATCATGGAAACCTTACAGTATGGAAACAGGCCATTCAGTCTACACTGACCCTCTGAAGAGCATCCCAGACCCACCTCCCTACCTTATCTCTTTAACCCCACATTTGCCATGGCTAATCCACCTAGCCTGCACACCCCTGGATACTATGGGCAATTTAGCTTAGCCAATCTACTTAACTTGCATATCTCTGGACTGTGGGAGGAAACTGGAGCAACCAGACGAAACCCACAGACAGGGAGTATGGGCAAACTTGACAGTCACCTGAAAGCGGAATCGAATCCAGGCCCCTGGTGTTGTGAGGCAGTAGTGCTGACCACTGAGCTACTGTGCCGCCATCAATGGATTATCAACTAATGCTAAGAATTATTAAATTCTAACAGCTAATTTGGGTTAGAAACCCAACTAGAGTAATATTTGTAGATAGGAAAATTTCTCTCTCATAACGAGCGCTATTAAAATTTGAAGAAGGGTCCCCAAACGAAACATCTGATCAGCTGAACCCTTTTGCCTTACATAACACAGTATGGACCTGGAGGAAGACAGCAGGCCAGGCAGCATCAGATGAGTAGGAAAGTTGACATTTCGGGTCGGGACCCTTCTTAAGTTTTTCTGAAGAAGGGTCCCAACCCAAAAAGTCAACTTTCCTGCTCTTCTGATGCTGCCTGGCCTGTTGTATTCCTACAGCTCCACAGTGTTATCTATTAAAATTTGAAAGTTTAATTTCCACTAGTGGTCAATTCCAAAATTATATAATTTTTTAACAAGTACAAGTTAAAAGATATTATACTCACACGGTTGCAGTGATTAAAATAGTGCATTAATGTACATTGTGTTATTGCAGATAGAAGCATTGGATTACTTGAACACTGTGCATAAAAGCCAAATGACAGGGAGGATTCGATAGCAGTAACAAAGTTTTAAGTCCATTGCTGATATAAAACCAAAAAATCAGCGGGTCTGTTACAGGCATGAAAATCTCCCTCAACAACTGACCCACCATTGTCCTTAGGCATTCCAGTGCATCCAAGGGCAGTTAAATAGGAAAATCTTCCCATTAATGGTGGCAATTTGTTATACATCACTATCCCATACTGAAGTAAGGGCTCCAGCTGGGAGAGCACTGTTGCTTTATATCAGCTTCATTTTGTTACACTTACCTGAATCTTGTGCTTTTGCTAGCCCTGAGCATTTTTATCAGCTGTGAGCTAATCTCCATTCATGTCCAAACTCGGCTTTTGGTTACCCACCCAAACTTTAGTTTGTGGCCTTGCATCCATCAACCGATTTGGTTTTCTTTTTCCCATCTAGTCTAAAGCACTTGTGAAATGCACTTTATGATTTTTATATGTTGAAAAGTATTGAAACAAAAGTTGCATTGTCCTGTACTAGGATTTTTAAAAGTTGCAATGCTTGCTGAAAGGTTGGCAGTAAGTCATTTTCAAAGATTAGGTAGTCAAAATACATTAAGAATACAGAATCAGTAGATTGGATAATATCAGAGCCAGGAAGGCAATTTATGAACTTATTTTAACTAGGTCAAAAAACTAAGTACATCACTAACACAAACTTTAAACAGCACAGTAGACTTAAAGACTTATTAGATAGACACACATTTGGAAAATCATGTCAGATGCTACTGATTATGCTGAAATCTTTTCCAATAACATTAAAGAGCAGAGATCCACAAAAAGGACACAAAAATAATCTTTGGTTAATTCAACAGACTTCCACCATTGAGCAGTGTGCTAGGCTGGGGTCGAAACAGAGGATCAAACATCTAACTTTCAGATGAGTTCGTATTCAAAAGGTAGTCACTTTAAACAGGGTGATAGGTGTTTAAATCCCTGCACAGTGATATCAGGAGACATTTCACTCACACTTCAGTTGGACATATTCTTGCGCCCTCTCTCGTGGTCACCCAGCCCAAAAGCAGGTTTAAGATCTACATCATTTGCCGATTGTATGAAGTGATGCACAGCACTTTAAATGAGCAGAATTAAATGCAACACCATTCAAAACAAATGGTGCTGAGATAACAGGATTTCAACACAGCTCCTAGACTTTTACCCAGTATGAATCTATATGCAAAGAATGGTGTGGGAAATTGGGATACCACAATGATGTTAGAGCAGAAAAATATACTTTAAAAACGTTTTGATAGGTTAATGGGAAGAAGGAAGTTATCAGATGAAGACCATATTACAATAATAGGAGAGGGAGTAAATAATAAGGCAAATATAATTCCCTGTTGTGAAGTAACTTGACACAGTTCCTTTAGACATTAGGATTTATGTGGCTTAAGAATACTGAAGTAATTTACAATCTCAAAGTAACACATAGCGCACAAGATTATTCCCACGGACTTCCCGCAATCGGTGGCAATGTCGCAGAATATTTAAGATTACGTGAAATTTCTTGTCAACCTTAAGGCGGGTGAAATCCTTTATGTCAGCTTCCACGAAGAAATATTGACCTGCAGAAGATAAACAGGGAGAAATGATACATTTTCAAATAATCCCTCTGGTTTCAGGGAGAGTGCAAAAAGCTATAATGAACGCAGATAAACAGAAATCAAAGGAGGTACATCAAAAGCAGGCATTTGAAAATACAGTCTAAAAGATAATGACCTTTTCCCAGAACAACATAGAAATTAGACTGCCTTCCTTGCGTTTGCACAGCCAGTTTAAAAATTTAGCCCAGAAAAGCCTCCTTGAATGCCTCTCACTGCACTGACACAATTGTATCTGCAAGAAGCCGCTCCCAGTTCACTTGGGCCAAATTGTATCTTCTTAGTATAATTAATCTTTCTCTAGTTTAAAAACTTTCATTCTTGGCCTATCTTCATCTTATTCCAAACTAGCCGAGTAATTGCTAGACTTAGAGTTCTTGTAGCAGATAGGGCTGCTGGTTCCCACAATATTCAAGTTACAGCACTATAAGAAATGGTAGAAAAATATTCTGGGTGCTGGAAATATGAAATAGAAAAAAGTTTTGGAGAACTAATCCAGCTGGTCTGGCAGCATCTGTGGAAAGAAGAACAGTTTTCATTCTGATATGACTTGCCTTTGGAACTCTTTGTTTACCCAAATGCTGCCACACTTGCTGTGCTGCTTTTTCAGCACTTTATGACTTTATACGAAAAGAAGTGGAGGCTGTTTATTACATCATCAGCTCAGTGTTATGTTTTCATTAACTAAAAGAAACTTGTGCAATGCCTATATTTTAAAAAAAAAATCAGAACAGAAAGAGTTCTGAAGAGAAGTCATATCAGACTCAAGATTCTTTTTCTCTTTCTACAGATGTTGCCACACTTGCTGTGTTGTTTCACTAATGTACTTTAGGGAAGGAAATCTGCCACCTTACTTGATCTAGCCTATATGTGGCTCCAGATCCTTAGCAATGTGGTTGACTCTCAACTGCCCTTTAAAATGGCCTAGCAAGCCACTCGGTTTAAGAGCAGTTGGAGATGGGCAATAAAATCTCGTCTTGCCAGTGAAGTTCATATCTTTTAAATGAATAAAAATAAATAAACAAGCCCAAGACTGATGAACAGTCCATGGATACACTGTACACTTTCTCTCTACTTGCCAAATAAAATTACTTCAATACTCCCAACTATTGTTCATCATGAGAAATCATCATACCCGAGTAGGAACACGGATGCAGTGTTAGTTGACACTTCAGTTCACACACTCATGTTAAGATGGAAATGGTTTATATTTGGATTTGCTGAAGTGAATACCTCTGGAAGTTATGCTAAGCTGATTTACATTATACCTTAATTGAACAGATAATTCTCTTCCTTTTTTTTTTTATAAAACATGATGTAAAGTGAAAGGTTTAAAGAAGGGCATGTTGATTCATAGATATTAGGAACTGTAGATGCTGGAAAATCTGAGACAAGGTGGTGCAGGACTGCTCCTATGATGCTGCCTGGCTTGCTGTGTTCATCCAGCTCTGCACCTTGTTGTCTCACGTTGATTCATCTTGTTTTTGCACATTATTCTTATTGGTACCTTTCGTTTCCTTGGTTTCTTGTTCTTTAAAAGCATGGTATTGGTTACGAGTAGTGTTCGACATGGATTTCATTGGCTGGTTTAGGATTTTGTACTTGGCTTTCACTGTGGCATTGATCTCCTTAACCACAGCATTGATCTGATCATAGGTCATTCGGCCTTTCATGTACCTAGAATGCCAATAAAAGGTTGCTGTCAAATAAGAACTGAAGTGATAAAATATATGCACGTTCCAAAATGATTAAATGATGAATGAAATAGGAATTTCCAAGATTACGAGATGTAGAAGATAACAAGACATTCTTTAGGAATTGCAAGAACAAAAGCAGAAACATACAAATCATGCTACTCTGAATGATGTTCCAATGAGAACCAAATTTTTCCTGCATTTTTCCAAGATCCAAAGGAGAACAAATCAGTAAATTGATCTTAGCCTCTAATCAATGCTGCTCAGAATGTGCCAAGAATGATAAGCTTCCAGTAAAAGATCTCAAAACATTAAAAATATAGCCTTCCAATGCTATTAAAAAGCAAAATCATAAATTTTAACTTTTGATCAGAGTTCAGGACCAACATGTTCCTGCCAGGATGAAAGGCAAGGATAGCAAGATTCAGGAGCCCAGGATGACAAGAGATATTGCAAATTTAATCAAAGAAAAAAGGAGGCAAATGTAAAGTTTAAGAAACTGAAATCAGTCAAGGCCCTCGAGGAATATAAAGAAAGCAGAACAAAACAATGAATTAGGAGGGCGAAAATGGGGAGTGAAATGTCCTTGGCAAGTAGGATAAATGAGATTCCCAAGGCCAGAGGAACTGCACGAGATCCTTAAGGAGGACTTCACATTGGCATCACCGAGGAGACAGACATGGATGAGCGTAAAATTTGGGAAGGCTATGTTGATATTCTAGGGCATGTTGATATTGAAGAGGTGGTGATGTTGGGTGTCTTAAAAAACATTAAGGTAAGTACCCAGGGCTTGACGGGCTCTATCCCTGGATACTGAAGAAGGCAAGGGAGGAGATTGCTGGGATGTTGGAAGAGACCTATATAGAATTGTAGAATTTTACAGTAGAGAAGGAGGCTATTTGACTCATTGTCTCTGTACTAGCTCCTGAAAGATCTACCCAGTTGGTCCCACTCTCCAGCCTTATCTCCACAGTCCTCTAACTTCATCACTGTCAAATATATATCCAGCTCTCTTTTGAAACCTACTATGGAATCCACCTCCATGACTCCCCCAGGCACTTATTCCAAATCCTAACAACTCTGATCAAAGAAGTTTCTCATCTCACTCCTAGCTCTCTTGCTGATAATATTGAAATTGTGACCCCCTAGGTACTGACATACTGAAACAGAATATCCTTTACCCTGTCAAAATTGTTCATAATTTTAAACACGTCAATAAAAGGTTACTTCTTATTCTTCTTGGAGCAAAGAAAGTTAAATGCAAACTCTCTAATCATTATCAATAGGCTAGGTCACAGAAGACTGGAAAATAGCTGAATGTTGTCCTTTGTTTAGGGACAAGAGGGATATTCCAGGAAATTATAGGCCAGCGAGCCTTACATCAGTGGTTGGGAAATTACATAAGATCATCAAGGGACAGGATCTACTCGCATTTGGCAAAAAATGAACTTATTAGGAATTATCAGCACGGCTTTTAACGGGGGTGGGGGGTGTGTCTTGTTTCACAGATTTGATTGAGTTTTTTGAGGAAGCGATAAAAATGACTGATGAGGGTGATGTAGTGGATGTTGCCTACATGGACTTTACATTTAAGAGGCATTTGCACTGACACGAACAGGCAGGGAGAGGGGTACAGGTCATGTGCAGGCAGATGGGATTAGTTTAGAATGACGTAATAGAAGAATGGGTTCTAGGGGAAGCATTCTGCATTTGACAAGGTCCTTCATGGTAGGCCGACCCAGAAGATAAAGTCACTTGAGATTTGGATGAAAATGTACTGGCCTGATTAGTAAGTTTTCAGACAACTCAAAAATTGATGGAGGTGGATAACAAGGAAGGTTGTCAAAGGATACAGCAGGATATAGATCAATAGGAAAGTTGGGTGGAGAAATGGCAAATAGTGGTTCATCTGGGCAAGTGTGAGGTGACACATTTTGAGAAGTCAAATGCAAGAAGAAAATATACAGTAAATGACAGGACCCTTAGGAACATGTTATACGAAGGGATCTTCATGTGAAAGTCCATAGCTTCCTGAAAGAAGCAGTACAAGTGGATAAGATGGTAAAGCAGCGGTACATCATGCTTACCTTCATGATGTAAGTGGCATTGAGTGTAAAAGTTGACAAGTCATGTTGCAGCTGCATAAAACTAGTTAGGTCACATTTCGAATAGTGTACAATCTGGTTGCCATAGCATAGGAAGAATCTGGAGACTTTGGAGTGGGTGTAAGAAAGGTTTACCAGAGTGTTGCCTGGATTGCACTGTATTAGTTATAAAGGAGAGGTTGGACAAACTTGGACTGTTTTCGCTACAGCGTCGAAGGCTGAAGGACAACCCAATAGATGTATACAAGATTATGAGGTGGATAGTTGGGATCTCTTTCCCAGCGTGGATATGAGATGTAGATTTAAGATGATGGGGGTGGGGGGATGTTTAAAGGAAATGTGCACAGCAAGTTTTTAAAAATTTTATTTTATGCAGAGGGTGGTGCCTGGAATGTACTGCGGGGGGAGGTGGCAAAAGCAGAGACGATAGCAACGTTTAAGAGGCATTTCGACTGACACATGAACAGGCAAGGAATAGATGGATATGTATCACGTGCAGGCAGATAGGATTATTTCAGAGTGGCATCATAGAAGAATGGGGCCCCGGGGAAGCCATTCTGCCTGCTGATTTTATAATCAGTGCTCTGTAGAACAATCCTTCAAGTTCCATTTCTCCCACTCTTTACACAATGTTAACAATCACTAAATAAAGCTAAGTTAAATGTTGAGTCCGACTTGACTTCTCTTCGCTAAAGTTTGTGCCATAGGTTAGCCAAGCCAGAGAAATTGATTGGCAAATAGACTCTGATTGCTGGAGGCATTGCCATGGAGAATACACCTATTAATGATGATCAGCAGTGAACAACAAGGCTGGTTGACTGAGTATCCAAGACATTGCCTTGAAATATGAATCAGTGAATGGCTGTCACCTATTTCATGGAGTTGAAGTAGGCTCTATGTATTAGTATATCGACTACAGGGGAGTCCCTGAATGCAATTCCGTACAGTTTGTACTCCAACATGTGAATATTTCCTCATACTTAGGAATAGCTATTTAATATTCACATGCATTGTGCTCTGAATTGCATACAAATCGACGCAGTGTACTTGGACTTGCCACACTAGTTATTACTGAAATTAAAAGCTCAGGGTTAGGGAATAACATTATTGGCACAGATAGAAGATTGGCTAGCTAACAGGAAGCAGAAAATAGACCCCTATCAGGTCGCCCCTCAGCCTCCAACTTTCCAGTGAAAACAGAGTTTAACCAACCTCTCCTCATAACTAAAACCCTCCATACCAGGCAACATCCTGGTAAACCTTCTCTGCACCCTCTCCAAAGCATTCAAGTCCTTCTGGTATTGTGGTGACCAAAACTGCATGCAATATTTGAAATGTGGCCTAACTAAAGTTTTGTACAGTTGTAACATAACTTGCCAACATTTATATTTGATGTCCGTCCAATGAAGGCAAGCGTACTGAATGCCTTCTTGACCACCTTATCCACCTGTGTTGTCACTTTCAGGGAATTACATTTGTTATCAGAATGCAATTCAATCAGTATCTCTGCTTATCATGGTATGACAGTCATTTCTTGTCTGTTAGTACAAAAGACCATCTGGCAATACATCACTCATTTTGTAGGAAAAAGGTTTAAAAAGGACCTGAGGGGTAACTCTTTCATGCAGAGGGTGGTGCATGTACAGAACGAGCTGCCAGAGGAAGTGGTGGAGGCAGGCACAATTACCACATTTAAAAGGCATCTGGATGGGTATATGAAAAGGAAGGGTTAAAGGGATATGGGCTAAATGCTGGCAAATGGGACGAGGTCAGATCGGGATATCTGGTTGGCGCAGACAAGTTGGACTGAAGAGTCTGTTTCCGTGCTGGATGACTATGTCATCTGTGATGGTATATACTGATAAGATTCATTCTTAAACTGACATTTTGTCAAACACAGAAATAATCCAGGACTAAATGTGATGTAGCAGTCTCTGGTGATTCATGAAATTATTTTGATTTTTGATGTTGCAATGCACTTGTCACAGGAACCTGTTATGCAAGTTCAGGAGACAATTCAGAAGATAGGAAGCTTGTTATAAATTTTATTTCAAGCAAATTTGAGTTCAAAAATAATGAAGTCTTACAACACTTGCACATAGTTTGGTGACTGATAAAGTTATATTAAGATTATATAGGACCCTGCTTGGACCATACCCAACAGCATTGTGTTTAGGTCTAGTTGTCTCCAACTATAAAGAGACAGAAATAGGAGGGAAAGTTAAGAAAAAAAAAAACAAGGACGGAAACTACATAGCCATCAGAAAAGAGCGAACAATTTGGGGGAATTTCTTTAGATGAATTAAGACTTAGAAAAAGCCTCAGATCTTTAAAATTATCAAAGAGTTGAACAGGGTCGATGTGGTGAGAATTTTTTCCACTTGTGGTTAGGTTCCACACATTTAATATGGTTGCAAATAATCCAGTAGGTTAACAAAGATGACACTTCTTTACTCAGTGATTAGAATCGGGAACTCAGTAACATGGAAAATGGTAATCTAAACAGATTTGGTTAGTGATATTCATTGGAAAAACAGTAGTGACCAGTTGAGATATTGGAAAATTTTAAAAACAGACCATGCATAGAATTTAAAACATACTTATAGATAATTACAATTTATTTTCTCAAAAAAGAAAGATAAACATCAGTAACAAGTATATTCCTGCTTGCCAATTTTCACTTACCATTTCCCTCTTCTGAGCTCTAGATGTGAGGGGGCTCAGGAGAGCAATAGTGAGAGGGCGAAGCATCTGACAGAGGTGAGACGTGCTGCAAGTGGAAGGGTTCGGAAGGAAAGGGATAATTGGGAGTTGAGGGGGCTTAGCAGATAGGCTGCAGTAAAGAAAGACTCCGGCTTAAACATTTTTAATATGTCAGTGTTAGAAATGCATGTCTCTTTTCAGGTCAAACAGAACAACTTCAAAGATGTGGTCTTTGGATTTAACAGCTGGGTTCTTGTTGTACAATGGTAGTGTCCCTCCCTCTTGACAAGAAGGCCTAGGTACAAGTCCCAACTCCTCCAGAGAGGAGTCATAGTATGTCTGAACAGGTTGATTAAAAATAGCCAAAAAAGTAATTAAAACCAGGCCTTTTCAAACAAAAACAAAAACAAAAAGAGCTGGGTCAGTTGTGGCTCAGTGGATGGTATTCTTGCCCTTATCATGAATGTTACTTCAGCAGCACATACATTAAAATTGGAACAATACAGAGAAGATAACATACGGATAGTTTCAAACTCATGAAGCATAAGAAGTGCTTTCCCAGCAGACAGTTGGCCTTTGGACAGGGAAAAAATCCAGAATGGTGGAAATTGATGTTTGCCTAATCTATAAATTTACAATAAAACCCTTGACAACTTTTGAAAGTCTTTCGCTGTCCAACTCAACATATAGAAATCAGTCTACTAAACACGAGAGAAAAAGGAAGGACAAAGATATGCTAAAAATGGTCAAAGTAAAATGGATGGAATGGAAGCGAAGCAGCCTCATCAAGTATAAACACCAACATGAAACAGACCAGTCAGGTCTAAAGGCTTTTCTGTACTACACATTTTATCTAACTTTCAGTTTAAAGTAATCTTAAACAAAACATCTACAAATTTATTTCAAACAAAAACAGAAATTGCTGGAGGAGCAAAAGCAGTGAGAACTGTTCTGGAGGAGGGTTACTGGATTTGAAATGTTAACTCTGCTTTCTCCCCACGGATGTTTCCAGACATGCTGAGTTTCTCCAGCAATTTCTGCTTTTGTTTCAGATTTCCAATATCTAGTTTTGTTTTCTTTCAATTTATTTCAGGATGAAACTGTTATGAAACTTACCCAGGTACCTGATTAAATTCCTCCATTAACAGGTATTCCATTTCACGAATAAAATGTTTGTTCTTGGCAGAATTCTTTTCCGGTTCAGAATTAGCAGTAACCTTTTGGACTTTTACATCTTTTGCATCTACTGTGCTGAAAAATATACAAAATAATTCTGTGTTAAGTTATAAATCACACCAGAATAAAACACTGGTGTTAAGGTTTATATAAAAGAAACAAATTTGCAAGGACTTCTCTCAGACATAATTTATGATTAATTGGGGTCTTGAAGTGCTTTAAGTAAATTAGGATGTGCAAAGCATTAGATCATAAAAAAATTAAATTACTAAATACAATAATTAATTATTTAGCTGAATTGCATGAACAAGTGCTTCCATTAGTTAGTTTCTTAATGCAGGTGCAAAGAGACAGAAACGACTCTAGCCAAAATAAGGATCTGGGACAAAGAGCTTTGATATCATTCTCATATTCCAGGTCCCATCCTTTTATAGGTGAATGAGGTAAGCTGCATTAGGAAACTGCAGAATCCAGTTCATTGCAGGTAGTAAAAAATAGGTGAAGGTAAATCTTTATAACCATTTCTTGAGCACCAAATGTTTACAGACATAAACAAAAACACAAGTTGCTGGAAAAGCTCAGCAGGTTGGGCAGCAGTTGTGAACATAAATCAGAGTTAACGTTTCAGGTCCGGTGAGCCTTCCTCAGAACACAATTTACAAATGTTATTTACTTTTCCTGGCATTTTCCTTTGGGCATTTTTTATGCAACCTTTCTTCATTCAATGCAAAAGGTACACGAATGTTCTTCTCAGCTGCATGCACGTACATTCCTCTGCAAGCGTTGCATTCACAAAATGTGTAATTTGACAGGCCTTAATAGAATAGAACGCTTAACGGAATGGTGACACCACTTTGATGATTAAGTAATTTAGGACATTGTGGGTTGATAGAGGCTGTTCTATTGGCCTTCTTTACAAGTCAACATCATACTTATTCTTCCCCAGAAGGTAATTACAATGTAATCTAAAAGCTTGAAAGATGGAAAAATAACTTTCAGAAAACAGAGTAGAATGAATCCAATGTAAATGCAACATCCGTGGCTTATAGAAAAGATTCTACTTATAAAATCTTGAGGACACTGCAAAACTCTTCACAGCCAAAGGAGCTCTAAAATGTACAGTCGGTTCTGCTATAAGATCTGTTCTGGTAACACGAATTGGCTATAACGCAACTGGCTAATAGGGGAATGCTATTTCTAAAACGCGAACTTGTGATGGCTATAACGCAATTGCATCAGTGTGCGGAGGAGTACGCGTCGACATCACATGATCGTTTTGCAGGCTGTGTCCTGAATATGCACAATGTTAGCGCCAAAACAGTCTCTGTGCTGGCATCATGTGATTATTTCGCAGACTTTGTCACTAAGAGCTTTCTGCGACAGGTACAGTACTTAGTAATTTTTGTTTTCTTTTGCAAATTCTAGGGTGTTACCCACAAAAGTGTGAGGACAGAGTGACAAGAATGTTAGCAAGAAGCGTCCTGGTGATAAAATTGAGGGTGGTGAACGTAAAAGAAAGGCTTTAACACTGGAAGAGAAGCTAGATGTTATAAAGCGTTTTGAGGGTAATGAGAGAACACGTGATATAGTTTGCATAACAGGAACAAAGGAGTCTACCTTACACACCATTAGAGACAATGCAGAAAAGATGAAAGCAAGCTATACGGCTGGAACAAGCCTGAGTGCTAGCAAATCTTAGAGATCATGGACAAAGAAACTTGAGAAGATAGAACGGCTTCGAAGTGTGTGGTTAGAAGATCAAACGAAAAAGAAACGATCTGGAACCACCTTTCTCAACATACAAGAGAAAGCCTTATCAATTTATGAAGAAGATCTAACAAAAAAAAAAGGCTGTAAATCCTGCAGATATGCCTGCCTTTAGTGGTAGCAGGGACTGGTTTGCTGGTTTTAAAGGACTGCTTTGCTTTTCATAACGTAAAGTTATATGGCAAAGCTGCCAGTGCAGATGATGAGCATGTGATGACATTTCCTCCCAGAGTAAAAAATTAATTGACAAAGAAGGCTACAACTTAGATCAAAATTTTCTGGATGAGACAGGTTTATGCCGGAAGCAAATGCCATCAAGAACCTACATTTCTATGAACAAAGCATATGCTCCAAACTTTGAGGCAGCAAAGGATCGTATGACTGTGCTGTGCTGCTAGGTGCCAATGCCAGTGGAAACTTAAAGCTTAAGCCTGTGGTGGTGTACCACTCTACCAACCCGTGAGCTTTGAAAAGGCAAAAGCAGCTTTTAAAGCTTATTATTTAAGGCGCACGTTTAAGAGGCTGATTGCAGTCACTGAGGGGGGATAAAGACAGGGTTCTTCAAATTTGGAAGAGTTTTAACATCAAGACCGTAATTGACATTATCGTGGAAGCTTGAGGTGATATCAGTAAGGACTGCTTGCATGCAGTTTGGATCACGCTTCTCCCTGATTTTTTCCCCAAGATTTTAAAAGCTTTGATCCATCAGAGGAGCTCCCAGGAATCAAAGAACATTGTGTTGATTTTGCAAAGCAAGTTGGATTTGAAGAAGTGGAGAGTGAGGATGTTGAAGAGCTGCTTCAGTCCAATGTGATGATCTTTCTACAGCTCATCTACAACACCTCGTAGAGGAGAAAGTGGAAGTTGGAGATGAAGAAGATGAAGTCCAGGATGCAGCACCATGAGATCTTTCCCATTTCTTATAGAAATCTCAGAATCCTACAGTGTGGAAGCAGGTCATTCGGCCCATCAAGTCCACATCGCCCCTTCGAAGAGCATCCCAACCACACCCCTACCCCATCCCTGTAACCCTGCATTTTCCCATGGCTAATTCACTGAGCGACACATCCCTGGTCCCTATGGGCAATTCAGCATGGCCAAAACACCCAACATGCACGTCTTTGGACTGTGGGAGGAAACCCACACAGACACAAGGAGAATGTCTGTGTGGAGTTTGCACAGTCACCCCAGGCTGGAATCGAACCCAGGTCCCTGGTGCTGTGAGATAGCAGTGCTAACCACTGAGCCACTGTGCCGCCTTCTGTTTTGTCTTCTATCCTGAGGGAAATTGAGAAGCAGTTGCAGCTCTTAGAGCGCAACAATTACAAAGCAGAACGCAGCAGGGTAGCAGCTCATGGAATAGGATCTTATTTGGTCCCCTTGAACAGCTTCTTCATGAAAGAAGAAAAAGAGCAAAGCAGCAAAAACCAGTTGTCTTTAAGACAACCCTCAAGAAACAATCAGAAGATAACGAACCACTTCTGGATTAACTATTTTTTGCCCTAACCCTGCAGCCACAACTGCACCCGAAGGTGGTGACGACAATGACGACAACAACCCTCAGCCCCTGCATTAACAACACAGCAACCTTAAAATCTTCTCCCCCATCAAATCATTTTGACATTTTTTGCAAGATAAGGTGTTAAACGTACTTTTAGTTAATTGTTTGATATGAATTAAACATTTACTCAAACTATGCGATCCTTTGTGTAGGCTTGAGTGATTTTTGAGTGATTGAGTGATTTTTTTGGTAGTCTGCCCCTAACCCCACTTTTCCCATAGGCTGTTACTTCTGTAGCATGATTTTCTATAATGCGATGTTGTGCAGGAGCGCAACTATTGTGTTATAGCAGAACCAAAAGTAGTTGTAACTGAATGACAGAATAGAGCAATCTTAAATATGACAGCAAAATCACATGAACAGCAGTGAAAAAATAATCTTTGATCAATATTGAGGGAAGAATACATGCTATTTTGCAGAGTAGAACTCCATAGCTTTTCCTCAAATAATGACACAAGGATCTTTAAGTTCACCTCAGACAGTGGACAGAGCCTCCATTTAAAAGCTCATCCAAAGGGCTACATTTCTAACAAGGCAATACTGAAGTGTCAGGCTGAAATGTGCCAATAGGGGTGGGATTTGAATCCCCATCCTTTCTGACTCAAAAGGCAAGAGTACTACATTTGAGCAACCATTACACTAAATGGTGTCACTTGCCAAGATATTTATTTCCCATCTTTTAGCTGCTCAAACGTGTTGCTGTCATTTCTCCTCAGACCTCCGCAGTTCTGTGATAGTTCAGTAAGGGAATTTAAGGATATTGCTTGGTGACAGAGGAACATACTTGCAGTAAGGATGTTGTCTATTGAAAGGAGACATACAGACAGACATCGGTGTTCCAACAATGTTGTTGCACCTATTCTTTTTATTAATAGAGACTACGTGTGGGGTGAGGATGCTGTTTAAAGTAAGCTTGGTGAGTTGCATTGCATCCAACAGTTCATACTGAACATAGCCACATGTATTCATAATGGAAACAGGTCAACAACTGGGCATCAAAGCAAACTACTGTTTGTAATCTGATTGGTGCTGTTACCTCTTCATGTATGCCATACCAGTCATGGCTTTGAGAAATCAGAAGGTGCTCATCCTTTGACCTAGTCTTGAAAATATGATGTTGATATTACTGTTGTGGTTAGGCTCTGGTCAATGATCTTCTAAGGTATGAATGCTAGAAAGCAGAGTTCATGTTATGATCGAAGATCAAAGGAAAGGGCTGGGCTTCCATTTGCTTATATCATCGTTACCTGCTACTTATCAGTCAAAGACTAAATATTATTCCAATCTTGCTGACATCAAGATTGATGGGCTGACATCAACTTCCATCATTTAGGAACACAAGAACAGAAGTAGGTCATTCAATATGATCATGGCTGATAAAATGTTTCAATGCTTTTTACTCAACCCATCCCCACAACCTGATATGCCACAGTAATCAGAAATCTATCAAATCAATCAATCCTTACCTTAAACACATACAAAAACAGAGCTTCCACAGCTCTCTGGGTTTGAGAATTCAAAACAATTCACAGCCATCTGAGCAAACAACATTTCTCCTAATTGCAGACCCAATTGGTATCCCTCTTATTTAAAATTGTGATCCCTGGTTCCAGATTCCTCAACAAGAAAAATCTTCCTTGAATCTGCCATGTCCAAACCTTTAAGTGCTTGTAGGTTTCAGTGGAATCACCTCTTATTCTTCAAAATTCTAGAAAATACAGACCTTGTTTGCCTAATCTCTCTTTGAAAGAGAAGTCCCACCATCTCAGGTACAAGTCTGGTGAGTTGTACTTCTCTGTAGCAATAATATTGCAAGAAGCAAGACTTCACTACTCCTGTACTCAAATCCTCTTGCAATAAAGGCTACATTCCATTAGCCTTCCTAATACCTTGTTGCACCCATATGTTAACCTTCAGTGACTTATTATCAAGGACAGCCAAGACTCTTCACACATCTATACTTTCCAATCTTTCACTATTTGAGAAATACACTGTTTCTTCTCCCAAAGTGAATAACTTTACATTTCCAAATCCTCCTGAAGGAGCTTTAAATCCTCTTCCACATCCTGTGACATAGTCCTGGGAAGTTATCAGCTTTCAGCCCCATTCATTTCTCCAGTACAATCTTCTGATGCTAATCCCCTTCAAGTCTTCATTCTCCCTAGTCACTTGTATTTCTAAATCTGGGAGATTTCTTGCATCTTCCTCAGTAAAAACTGAGAAAAAATAATCAATTAACTTTTCTGCCATTTCTCTATTCCCCATTCTGTATTCCAAATCTCCTGACTGCCTGAAATGGACCCACGTTTGTTTTAGCCAACACTTCCTTATTGTGTATAGAAACATATAAATTTTGAATCCGATTTTATGAATTTTGCTAGATTGCACTTCTATTCTCTTCTCCAGTTCCTTATTAGTTTTCTCATCCTGCTTTATAGAGTCAGAATTTCCAGCATGAAAACAGACCCAACTCATCCATGCCAACCAGATACCCTAAATTAATCTAGTCCCATTTGCCAGCATTTAGCCCGTATCCCTCTAAACCCATCCTATTCATGTACCAATCCAGATGCCTTTTAAATGTAGTAATGGTACCAGCCTCCAACACTTCCTCTGGCAGCTTAATCCATACACAATACTAGATATAAAATAGTCTGATGTCAAATTTGTCTACTACTCTAATTAGCCGACTGCTCTAGAAAACCATGCCTGACACTCACCAGGAACAACTCCTCCACATCTTTAGTGCTCCATTGGTTTACCCAGTCTGAGTCACTCATGATAATGGTGTTGCTCATGCTACATGCTTTCTCAACTCCTGGTTAATACCACGTCCTGCACTACCACTACTATTAAGTGGTCTACAAATAACTCCAGCCAATGTCAGCCACCCCTCGGCATTTCTCATTCCTACACAGATTCCAGGCATTTGCAAATAAATTGGATGGCTGACATGGTTTTCAGCACCCATCACAATGTTACAATATGAACTGTCTAGCCTCAACAGAGCTCCTATTACCTTGGTGTCCCTCACTGTATCACTGACATTTGGCCTGGGGCACAATTAAACTTTGTAGACTCTGATTTCAACAATCTCATACAATAAAAACCGGGCCCATTTTTTTTTCCCCCCCACTAACCTCCAGATGGACTTTAAGGAAATAAACTTGCAGGATTAAGGGGACTGGAGAATGGGGCTGAATGAATTGCTCATCAGACAGCCACCATAGATTCTTGGGCCAAATGGGGCTTTATAAAACCCCTTGTTACTTTGCACCATCATCCATTCATTTGTTAAGTCCCTTTTGTCCCCTCTCACCATGCTACTACTTCTCCTCGCTTTGTACTTGCTTATGGACTCCTAATCCCTCTAATTTCATCCAGTTCTGACAAAAAAGTAATTTGAACTGAAATGCTAGTTTTATTCTTTTTTAACAGATACTCTGTAACCTGAATATTTCCAGCATTGCGTTGTTATGCAAGCTTCCAATAGGGATTCACAATTTTAACCAGTTGTAAGAACAAATGGACACAGAATTTATCTTCAACATTTTAAAAAAATGCTCAACTGTCTCCATGGTAGTGTGTCAAGAGTGAATCAAGATCATGCGCAGTTTTCAGCTGCAGCAGGATTATAGAACTGAATTATAACAAAAAAATGCAGATGTAATTCAATAACCAATTTGGAAGTTGTATATTTATTTCACTACTTATATATTTCATATTTAGAGTGGAAATGTGTAACAACTTTTTTTAAATTCAGGAATAGGAATGTCAACGGCAAGTTGCTTATGCCAAATTGCTTTCAAGAATCTGGTTAACTGGTCTTGAACTGCTGTCTAATCCAGTGTGGGTACACAACTCTTAGAAGCCATAATACAAAAAGCAGGAAAAAAAAACAAACATTCTTTGGTTAACATCAGCTTCACCTACCTAGCTTCAACAACTTTCTTGGGTAGATGAGCTGGGATATTTTCTAGCAAATGATGTGCTATTTCAGAATTTCTCTGGACTGCATTTTTCAGCTCCTATACAAACAAATAGACAGAAATCAAAACTAAACTTAAACAATTGCCAAAATTATACCTGTTTCTGGCTGTTAAGCATATCCAAACTTTCAAAAGCAATGCAATAATGAAAACTTTAACAACCAAATTCAAACAAAATTCATAACAACTGACCAGGTGAAAAAACAATATTATGCTGGTGAGATTTCAACAAACTAATTTGGCAAATCAAAATTTCATTCATTGTTACGTAACAGACATTTTACATAAACAGAAATAGCATTAGCAGCTGTTTGATAATTCTTTGAGGTGAACGCAAGCTCTTTCAAATTTGACACAGAATAAGATCTCAATTAAGTGTGATCCAGCTAATGTTCCGACAGCACACAGAAGCACCTGCTATTTTTGCTAACAGGTGACATTAATATTAATCCCTTTGCAATGGAATACAGGAATTTCCCCGATCCCTTAGTATGTCTATCATACCTTTTGGTCTATTCGTGACTTGTGCGGAGTTGGCCAATTACTAGCATATGGTGCAAAGGGCAAAAAGATTTTTTTTAAATTCCAGAGGAATTGCAACCAAAAAGATGAAAAGGTACAAAAAAAGTTTCTTGTTAGCCAATTATCCCCTCAGAAAAGAACAATAAGGCAAAACAGGAATGGCTTTGTTGATATTTTCTGCAACAAAACACTCACTGCTAACACCAAAACAAAGTGCAGTTTATCATGAGTAACTGACCATATCCTATCAAGAATACAAACTTTAAGAAAAGGGAGAAAATTTGGCAAGACAGTTGAATATGATCACACGGAATGTTGAGAAGAGCCATTGGAATGGAGGAATAGAACAAATGTGTAGAGACTTAGACTATTTCCTTTGATGCGTCAAGTAGCTATTATTGGCATTCAACTCTGTTAGGTGCATGGAATACAAGGCTGGAAACAGGGGAAAGAGAGGTCAAGGGAAAAAAAAACAACACGTAAAATGCTCCTTCTCAATGTGTTCCTGAAAAGTTTGCATTCAGAAATCATGTTAAAAGTACCTATCCTGGAGAGAATGTTGCCAATTACCTTCTTTTGTGCGCATTGCATGCTGTGCCCAGTATATTGCACTACTGGGAAAAAAAAGTGATACTTGAACCAACACAATAGAACATGAAGCCGCCAGAAATCTTCCTCACTAGGCAGGAAAGATTTAAAAAGGAATAAGAGTGGTTTCGGCAACAGTGGCTGGTGAACAGTCTGTAACCAGTCATTACGCACTTCAACTTAGGGAGCCAGGCAATCAGCCTCTGAAGGGCTTGCAACAAGACCTGGTAATATAAGCCAGCATGGGCTTGAGCAGCTGTCCTGAATAGCTGCACTGTGTGGGCTTGACTAGTTTCTAGTCGGTTCCCACTATGAACACCAACATCAGCTTCGACCGCATGAACAAACTGAACCATGGTGTCTGCTGGGCTGAGGGTCTGGAGATGGTGATCTGACTGAATAAGCTGAAGACCAGCAAGAGACTAAAGCTCAGCTGTAGTGTCATCAGATACAGAGTGATGGCTATGTGGCTCAGCTACTCGAGGCCAGGATATCAGTCAGTCAGTCTCCCTGCTTGCCACCTCTGCTTCTTATTCCATCCTACATTCCAACATGTTTGCAATTCTCCAATTCTGGCCTCACGTGCATCACTAATTTTAATTATTGTCCTATTAGTGGCCATGTTTTCACCTGCCTTGATCCCAAGCTCTGGAATTACCTCCTTAAGCCTAACTCCATCAGTATTAGCACAGTCTTAAACAGCTTAGGGTCAATTTTGATTCTAACACGCCTGCCAATTGCTTTGGGAGTTTATGACCTTGAGATTTTTATTTAATTTAATTATTTAATTTCAAGTTTCTTTTGAAAGAGTGCACTTACAATGCACAAATTTTTACTTGAAAAAAGATTGAATTACTAAATTGTGACCGGTTCATAACGTACGTCATTTTATTCATTGTTTCCATGCACAAAGCCAATCTTTTTGGGAAAATTTTGAATTTGGGTTTGAAGCATGAACAGCAGGGATATGTTTTATTATTTGGCACATCTAAATGTTGCCATAAAATTAATTTACATGGAAGACACGAGGGTTAGATGCCACTACCATGTTTATCACTTCTCATCTGTGCATCGTCAAGATGTGTTCCAACTATGCCTGGAGTTCTCAAAGGCAAAATATGCAGTGTTACAGCTGCAAATCCATATTCTCATAGCACATTGAATTTCATTTAAAAATGATATTAATAATTGTTTAAAATGCTTAGTTTCAGGAGATAAAATATTCAATTAAATCTCACTTAACTCATAAGAAACAGTAAATATATAAAAGATATTCCTAATTTGCAATAGAATCTAATCCCTTTGTAAACGAAATAAAATGGATTTACCTGGAGAGATCTCAGCTCAGTTTTTTGCTGTTGTATCTGCATTTGAAAAATGTCCAATACATCCCGAATGCTAGACAATTCCAGGCCAATCTTCTGCAGAACATTTGTAAGTGAAGGATCATTACCTAATGACAGAAACATTTCAAACTTGCATTAAAACAAGCTTGAGAAGGAAATGAATGTGAGCAATAAATGAAATAGCAAGAAGAGAAAAATTGAAGATCAAACAAGAACATCTCATTTACTCAAGACAGTGGCAAAAAAACTAAAAATGCCATTCTAAACTAATCCAATCGCTTACGTATGGTTTGTATACATCTCACTGTGTTGCAGTAAATAAGAAACACAGGAATCAAAAAGGCCAAAATTCAGAAACTGCCAGGTATTTGACAAAATCCCTGATACATAAATTTTGCAAATGTTAGAGTTCAGGGATACATGAGAATGATATAATGCCAAAACTTTTCTGTCATGTTCATTTCTCTACAGTGTATTGAGAGAATATAAAAATAGAGCAGCATGTCATTTCTTAATATTCATGCGGGTGATGTGGGCCTCACTGGCTAGGGCAGCATTTTATTGCCCATCCCTAACTGCCCACAGAACAGCTAAGAGTCAACCACATTGCAGTAGTTCCAGAATCACATGTAGGCCAGACCAGGCAAGGATGACAGTTTCTTTCCCTAAAGAGCATTAATCAATCAGCGTTACAGCTTGCAAGCTTGACAGCAGCGTTCCAAATTGCCAGAAACTGCTGGTTTAGTAGAGTCTGTCAGCTTCTGGTGCTAAAGATGGTCAAGGCCTAATCCTTTGGGGGATTCAATGGAGAGGCTTTTTCTAAAAATCATCTACTCGTGAGAATGTAATACAGCACAGAAACACGCCATTTGGCCCACCATGTCTGTACCAACCACGATGCTGTTCTAAAGGAATCCCATCTGCCTGTACATGGTCCGTATCCTTCTTTATCACCTTATTCACTTTTGTTGCAACTTTCAAAAGTTATGGACTTTCATCCCAAAATCCTCTGTATATCAATGCTTCTGAGGGTCCTGCCATTTACTGTATACTTTCCTGTTACATGTGACTTCCCAAAATGCATCACTTCACATGTTTGGATTGAATTCAGTGTCATTCAGAGCATGGAAACAGAACTTTTGGTCCAATTAGTCCACGCCAACCATGTTCCCAAACTAATCCCACTTGCCTGCATTTGGCCCATATTCCTCCAAGCCTTTCCTATTCATTTACTTATCCAAATGTCTTTTACAACATTTAAATGTACCTGCATCCACCACTTCTCTAGCAGTTCATTCTACACATTAACCACTGTGTAAAAATGTTACCCCATATGTCCTTTTTCTCCTCTCACCTTAAAAACATGCCCCTTATTTTTGTACTCCCCCGCCGTAGGGAAATGGCTCTTGCTATTTACCTTATCTCGGCCTTCTCGTGATTTTATAAACCTCAATATGGTCACCTCTTAACCTCCTACGCTCCAGTGAAGAGTCCCAGCCTATTTTTATAACTCAAAGCCTCCGTTCCTGGCAACATCCTGGTAGATCTTTTCTGAACCCTCTCCAATTTAATAACATTCTTCCTATAGCAGGACAACCAGCAATGCATACAGTTGTCCAGAAGAGGCCTCACCAACATCCTGTACAGCCTCAACATGACAGACTTTCGAATAAAGGAATTGGGATAAGTAATGAAGGCAAGCATGCTAAACACCTTCTTAACCACCCCGTAATGCAAATTTCAAAGAATTACGGACTTGCACCCCTTGGTCTCTTTCTTCTATAACACTACCCAGGGCCCTATCACTAATTGTATAAGTCCTGCCCTTGTTTGTTTTAGCATAATGCAAGCTTTTCATCGAAGTCAATATATATATTGATATTTATTTTGCAAATAACAGAGGTCCTAGCACTGATCCTTGTAAGCACAACTGGTCACAGTCCTGCAGTAAGAAAAACATCTCGCCACAACTACCCTCTGTCTGCTATGACCAAGCCAATTTTGTATCCAACTTATTAACTCACCACAGATCCCATGTGATTTAATCTTCTGGACCAGCTTAACATGAGGGACTCTTCAAACGCTTTAGAGAAGCCTATGTAGGCTTCCACTATCCACTATCCAACATCCACTATCCTATCCTCAATTACTGAGATGGAGATGGCTCAACCACCTCTGTGTGCAAACTCACTCCGTCCCATGTCTCGATTACCACCATTACGGCAATTGGAGGATCCCCTCAATCCTTCAGGCAGGACACCATTCTTTCCCATAAAAAGAGGTGTTGAGTAAAAAAGCTGAAAACTAACATTTACAGAGATTTGGTTAGGTCACTCGTGTTACTTCCAGTCTGATCACCACACTTCCAGGATACAAAAGCCCCCATGTGGTCACAGAAAAATTACCAGAATGGTTCTGGGCTGAGGACACTAACTACAAGACTAGGTTGGAGAAGCCTAGGTTCTTTGTTCAAAGGAAATTTAAGAGAAAGTTGAAAGAGGTGTTCTAGATTATGACACATTTAGACAGTGGGAACAAGGCAATAACTAATCCCACTTATTGCAAAGATTAGGGGACCTGGTTTTGGGTAAAAGATGCAGGGACAATGCAACAAAATACTGTTTTTAAAAAGATGAACGGCAGTGATCTGAAATTTGCTGCCCATAAGAGCGTTGGAAGTAGAGACAATCAACGATTTTAAAAAGGAAATTGAATGGGCATTTCAGAACAATAAGCTTTTGGGGGAAGAGGACTGAATGGAATGGGGTTGATTGTTACAGAGAACCAACGTAGACTCGATGGATCAAATTGCTTCCTTCAATGTCAAAAAATATTCCATGCGTCTATTGATTACCAATGTTTGAGGCCTTATTCCAAAAATGTCTTTCACTACATACAATCATATGGATGCATAATACTAGTACTTTCCCAAAACAATCCAGGTTTGAAGAAATGGTAGAACTTTTGTTTTTTTCAAGTTTAATTTATTAAAGCTTTGTCAACTTCAAAAATGAATAGACAACTGAAAGTCATATCCAACATACACATGTTTTTGAGCTGCATAGACCTTTTGATAGAAGTTATCTTGTTGTTCAGTTGAGTTGATACATCTTGCAAGTCCACAGATGTCATTTCTACAAAATCAAGATGAAATTCAATGTTATCTCACCAAACATGGAGGGAACTTGGACATTTAGTGAGTGAGACTTAAAGGATTAATTGCTTTCTAAAATATAGTCTAGTTTGCAAGAGATATAATTTAGTTTCAAGAATGCATGCTAAATTCCTTTTAAGCACAGCCAGTGACAAACAAGCAACCAGTTTATGAGGCAAGTACAGTTGGGTAGCTAGCTAGCTTGAACTGGCCCCTCTAACTAATAGTGGGGAATCATCTCCGTAGAATGTCAGCTAGTATGTGGCCTTGCTCTTGCTCACTGTGTGCTGAGAAGCAGTGAGGAGATGCTGTTCTTACTTTTTAACTGAATGGATTGAGAGAGTGAGTGAGAGAGCGAGAGAGACCGAGGGAGAATGATGCGACTGGAGAGACAGACAATGAGTTGGTGCATTTTAGACCATTTTCTCCTCAATAAACAAGGACAGCAGTTGGAACCAGTGCTGGGGAGACCAATTGCAGTACTATTTACATCTTCACTGGTTAAACTACTTGAGATAATTACAGATTATCATTTAGCATTATTTCTAAACAATTAATTAAAACACAAAGATGGGATAGCAGGTGATATGCTGCAGCCAAAGCACATGGGAGCTGATGAACACTACTGAAGCCACAGCAACCATACCTGAAGTACTTGTAGCTTGAGGAACTTAGCACGGAAGCCAAGCTGTGAGCAATATTATCATACATAAGGGAGGGCAATATCTACATGGACATTTTGTTCTAGAGGGTAGTCACACACCTTCTGATCTGGTCCATGGTCAGGTACAGGAGAGTTAACTAGAAGTAAAACAGGTAGGGGGACCAAGAAGGTAGAAAATAGCAATATGTCATTCAACAAGACCAAAGCTGATCCGGTTGTGATCTTAACTTCATTTTCTTCTCTGTCCCTCGTAGCCCTCAACTCCCAAATGTAGAAGTGGAAGAGACTCAGCACGTGGAATTGCCCAACAGGTTAAAACTACTTGCAGCTTGTATGAACGAGAGCAGGGGTTGCAATGTGGATGAGCAAACTGATCATGGCATCATGGTACAGGAAGCTATTCAAGTTGCAGGGCGAGGTAGTAAATAGGAATTCAGTGGTTGCACTGTACATATGGATGATAATGAAATAGTGTAGGTTAGATAGGCTTCAGATTGGTTTCACAGGTCGGCGCAACATCGAGGGCCGAAGGGCCTGTACTGCGCTGTAATGTTCTATGTTCTATAGTAAATCATGGAGATAGACAGCTCTCTGTAAGAACAAATGTCCAGAAGGCTATAAGTGCCAGGGTTCCAGGGATCTACTCTGGACTGGTGGGGAACTTGCAGTAAGAAGATGGCAATTAAATTGTCATGATATATGTGGATACCAAAAACAAAGATAGGAAACAAGGTCATAGTACTCAGTAACAATTTGGGTAATGTTAACCAGACTGTTCGAGTATTAACAGGCCAGTGACACAACAGAGATGGCCCTACATCCAAATGCATGCAGCATTCAGAAAAAAAGAAATTGATGAATTGGTGGCACAGGTAGAACTAGATTATGTATGACCTGATAGCCATCACAGAGGCATGGTTGCAAGGTAACCAGGGCTGGGACCTACATATTGAAAAGCATTTCAGATGTTAAAAAGACATGAGACCAGAAAAGGTGATTGGCTAACTCTTAAATTGAGATGTCATTATTGCAGTTTCAAAACATGTTCTTAGTTCAAACGTGCAAAATCTAAAATCATTTTGGGTTGAGATAAGAAATAAGACAGGTAAAAGGTCACTAGGAGAAGTGCTGCAACAGTAGTTTCACTGTAGGACAGAGGAAGAAATAAGTGGAGCACGCAAGATGCCACAACAATCATGCACTATTTAGGTGCAATTATCTTCATATAGATTGGATGAATCAGATTAGGAAAGGTGGCCCGGGAATAGAATTCATGAGTGCATTCAAAACAACTTCTCAGAGTTGTACATTCTGGAGTCAAGAATGGAACTGCTAGGTGACAATAAATTAACATGATAACTCAGTTTGAGAGGGGATGGTGGAGTGTGAGTTTAAGAGTTGTGGTTTAAGCCTGAGTATGGGTAATTTTAAGGATATTATCAGGCAGGAGTTAGCTAAAGTGAACTAGGGAAATTAGGTTAAGTGGTATAACACTAGAGTTACAGTGACAGACTTTTAAAAAATATTTAATAACTCTCAGAAAAGATGTATCTGGTAAGGACAAAAGCCTTTGGAAGGATGCATCATCTGCAGCTAAATCAGAACCTTAAAATGACAGTGTAGCGTTTCTTCTGCTTTGCTACTAGTAATCAGAATCAGTAAATAACTACACACAAAAAAAGAGGGAGCATGGAAGAAAGCCAGCGGGTAACACTAAAACAGAGTAAGAGTTCTTACTACTATTTAAGGTGTTTAAGTATTTAAATGGGAAAGAAGTAATAAATCAAGTATTAGTCTCTAGGGTAAAACACTGGTGAATTAATAATGGAAAACGAAGAAATGGCAGAGGCTTTGAACATACATTATTTGTTTTCGTGACATGGGCTTTAGAAACCATGAAAAAAAGTTAAAATCATCATAAGGTGCACGACAAAGAAGTAACTTGAAACAATCACCATCACCAAGGAGAAAATGGTCCTGGGATAGTTAATGGACGTAAAGGCTGATTCAGCCCCAGGACCAGATGGACTGCATACTTGGGTCCTAGGAGAAGTGGTTGCAGAGACAGTGAATGCATTAGTTATAATTTTTCAAAATTCTTTGGATTCTGGACTAATATCAGAAGACTGAAAAATAGCAAATCTAAAACCTTCATTGATGAAAGAAGAAAGTGCGAGAAAATGTGACAGACAGTGAGAGATCTATCATAATAGAAGTGCTAGAATTCATTATTAACTGGGTTTTTAATCACTTTGACATGAATGAAAAGATACTTGTTTTCAGCATAGCATCTTCATTTTAGTACCTATCTTTGGCAGGGTCCATTACATGAGGTCTAATTATGCAAATAATTGGGAAACAGCATTTGACTTTTATAGCAACATCAGCATAATGACTGGGATATTCCAAGCGGTCTTCAAGATCCTTCCTATTCCAGAGTCAGTTATGGTCAAATTTAATTGCACAGCAAGTTGAAACAAATGTACTGCACATTCATATCTCATGCAAATATTATACCTGGTGAATAAAAGCCAAATACTGCAGATATTAGAGATCTCAAACAAAAACTGGTGGTCTGATATGACTCTTCTTCACAAGTTCAGATGTGATACATGAACCGGTTTCTCTTTTTGTAGATGCTGCCTGACCTGCTGAGTTTCTCCAGCACTTTGTTTTTATTTATAAATTTTGCAAGGTGCATATTGCTGTCAAGTGGCCTAAGTTTACACTGCATTTAACAAGCAAAAAAACACAAGTTTTAGACAGGAGATCCATTGCCATTATCTGAAATAGGTAGGTAAAAGTCTGTGGCAAGAATTATAGTTATCTGAACACATTGCTGGTAGGTCACCACAATACATATTCATTACTTCCAATTATACTTTTACATTTTTCAGTACGTGTATAAAAACATTTTCTAACATTACAAATCTATTATCTTGGCTGAAATAAATGCCATAACAAATTACATCACTTTTTACATTAAAGTCTTCAAAAATCATTCCAATCACCATTGAATCACAATTTGTCCCAATAGCCTGGTTGTACATCATATGGATATTCCTCGTCTTCTTAATCTACAGTTTTATAGTAACTACAATATCATTGTCCCACACGATGGAACATTTGATACTCAACATTTAAAATTTTTGTGACAATTTTGGGTTCAGACTAATTTCACATAGCTATTAAGTTACAGGCATTTCACAGCTGAAGGTGCTTACATATTTCTATTTTTAAGAAAGTGTTTTCTCACCTTCTGCTTGTCCATTATCCTTTAGACACTGTCTTTGGGATGTTGACTCACATCCATTTCCAAAGACTGGAAAAACATTACATCTCAAATGGCGAGCAAGGCATTGGAATCCTTAAATTAGGAAAGCCAAGTGGGATGGGGGAAAAATTTCAACTTAAAACCTCCTTGTTAAGGAGACCACCGTGGATTGTGAAGGCAGATTATACTTGTCTAATTAAATTGATTTTTTTTGATGAAGTAACAGAGAACTGATGAAGGCAATTCAGCAGATATTGTCTCTATGGATTTTAAGAAAGTGCCAGATAAGACCAAACAAAAGGCTGGTTCAAAAAATTAAGGCTTATCGAATAGGAGGGATAGCGTGCAACTGGATTTTTAAGAAGCTTAATCACAGACAACAGCACTTTCTGGTCAAGAACAGTTGGATGAACCAAGGAATGGGTAAAGACCAGGCTTGGGGAAATCAACAGCTGTTTATTGAGGCCATTAGTAGCTGACAATATGATGGCTGTGGTAACCCATGTGATGAGGAGGCCTGGTGTGTGGGGAATGGGGGTAAGGACATGGGACAAGGTGCTCAGGCTGTTAAATTATTTAACTCGATATGGAGTCCTGAAGGCTGCAAAGTCCCCAAGCCGAAAATAAGTTGCTGTTCTTTCAGCTCATGCTGAGCTTTGCTGGAGCACTGCAAAAAGCCAAGACAGCAATGCTGGGCAGGGAGCATGGTGGTGTGTTGAAGTGGCTGGCATCAGGAAGTTCGGTCATTTTTATGGAAGGAACATAGGTGTTCTGCACAGCAAGTGCCCAGTCTTCATTTCATCTCCCCAATGTACAGCAGCCAACATGTTGAGCGGCAAATGCAGTAGACTAGATTGAGTCAAGTGCAGCTAAATCGCTGCTTCATCTGACAGGTGTGCCTGGGGCCTTAGATAGTGGTGGGAGGAAATAAATGGTCAGGTGTTACGCCTTCTGCGATTGCATGGGAAGGTGCCATGGGATATGGGTGGTATTGAGAGTGGAGAAGTGGTCCAGGGTGTCCAGGAGGGAAATGGTCCCTGCA